AAGGTCACCGGCCCGCCTGGCAGGGGGCCTGCGCGGGCGGCAAGAGCAGCCCAGCTTGGCACAGGCACAGGGGTCCAAAGGCCGCGCCGAAGTCCATTGAGCAGCGGAGCAGATCGACTCCCTTTGCAGAGTCGTCTTTGGGTCGTTGCGAGAGATTTTGCCGGCAACATCCTTGAGCCAGTGAGGGTGCGCCAGCCCTCTGCCGAGTGCGCTCAACTTGCGAAGCGTGGCTCGGATTGCGGCGACAGTGTCTGCGGGACTGCCGGCCCGGCAGGACGTGATTTCGGTGTGTGCGGCGGCAGGCCTGCCCTTGCCCAGCACTTGGTGAGCTGGCTGACGAAGCCGATGGTGAAGCCGGCGGTGTTCCTGACGACCTTGACGGTGAAGCCTTGTCGGCGAGAGACTGCGCAGCCGTCGGGAAAAACTTTGTCGATCCCCTGTGCCCGCTATGTATCTTGCCACGCGGCTTGGACCCAGAAGGCCAGGAGGTTTCAGTGCATTGCCTGGCGGCGGGCGAGCTGCAGGGAAAGCTGTTGCTGTGCTTGCCGGCGGCCAGCTGGCGCCACAAGGTTGCCGAGCGCACCGTCCCTCGAGGTTTTCTCAGCAAGGTTTTCGGTGCAGAGGTTGCAGCTGCAGCGTCGACCGGACAGTCGGAGTTGCCGGGCAGACGGTTCGAGTTTGGCTGGGCTTGTGCGAGGGCCACGCCGAAGCCGCGATTCAAGTTGCTCCTCCCTTTGGTCGATGCCTTGGCCGAGCTTTGAGAACGGCAGTTGGCAGGTGGCTTGTCCACTCCTTTGCAGTCAGCCACCGAAGGCCCAGACGTTGCACCCGGTTTTTCCGAGATTATGGGTGCCAATTTGGGGGGCAAGCTACACCCGCATGGATGCGAAAGAAGCCGACATGACCGTCGGCAGGGACACAAACGGAAAGGGCGGTGCACACATGTTCCACGATGTGGTGGGCGCAAGCGGAACGAGGAGCTCCAGAGGCATAACACAATCTGGGAGGGCAATGCACGATGAACAGCGAGCACGGGCACGATGGCTTCAGCAGGGCCAAAGGCTCAATCTGCTGCTCCCGCCGCTCCTACCGCCCAACGTGTACATGCCTCAGGGTCCATTGCCGCGGCAGAGAGCAGTTATCCAG